GCAAACACATTTTTTTGCTATAAAATGAGGATAACATCACCTCCTTCATAGGGCAAATGTTAGAATGAAATGAGATCGTGCCTTTAATGTGTTCTGCACAGTGCCTGGCACTCGGTACTCATAAGTGCTAACTCTTATTGTTACCATCCTCCTCACCAGCACTGACCCCCAGGGAGCAGATGCTCAATGCACAGGCACGGAAACATGGAGCAGACTGATGAATCTCAAAGGGAAGAGGGGAGCGAGAAGGGCTGGAACTGATTAACCTAAGGTCTTATATGCATACTAGAGGCCTTGTGCACTGATTTGTGCACCAGTGGGGTCCCTTGGCTTGGCCTGCAGGAATCAGGCCGAATTCATGCACTAGGCCTCTGACATCCCCCGAGGGGTCCCGGATTGCGAGAGAACACAGGCCAGGCCAAGGGATCCCTCCAGTGTACGAATTCGTGCACCAGGCCTCTAGTTACAAATAAGAACTCAGAAGTTGGTTTTTGCATCTTATTTCCTGTCAATCAATACCGTAAGTGGTCCTGACCAGGCACACATGGCACGAATCCCAAGCCGCAGGGATAGGTGACCCTTGGTGTGCATGCTGGTTTGACTTCTCTGGTCATGGAGTTCATCTGCTCCCCCAAGACATGTTTCCTTTTACCAGCCAAGAGTTTTAGGAGGCTGATGTCTTGAGAAGGAATGTAGAGAAATACCCCAAGAAAAGCTCTCAGCAGCAGCTGGGAAATCCCACAGTCCCACACTCCCTAGATCGGCCTGCCACATGTCCAGCCTGAGCTTTCCAGAACTTACCAAGGTCCATACTAACTTACATAATCACACACACACACACACACACACACACACACACACACACACAAATGTAACCAAACAAAAAACCTACGGAAAAACAAAACAAAACACAACACAACACAAAACAAAACAAAACTCTAGGGAAGTTTGGCTGCCAGTGGCAATAAAAGCCACACTCATGAGGTAGGTGCTAAAGCCAAAGGAAAGGTTTATTCAGGTGCTGCAAGACCTGGGAGAATGGTGGACTTATATCTCAAAGACCATCTCCCATTCCTTCTCAAGCCTGCTGTTCTTAGAGGATTAGATAGGGGAGAGTTTTGTTTTTTTTCCCTATCCAATTATCTTAATAGCTTCTGGCATACTCAAATCCTATCCATTCATCCTTCTAGCTTTTGGTGTTCCCAATGTAATAACCTCCCTCTGCACCATCTTGGTCAATGAGGGAGACTTCTTGGTGCTCTGTCTGTGGTAACAGAACCATCATGGCCTATAGATTCTGTGTTTGCCTTATGTGGCCCAGGTTTAACTCAAATACTGTTTAATGTTTGAGGCTCTCTTGCAGATCAAAGCAGCCAATAGACAGAGTTCTGGCCAATAAAATGAACCCCCTGGGAAGGGTCCATTTTAAAATAATAAAATGAATTACTGCTCCACATTTGTGCTATGCTACTGTTTTATATCTTTCTCCCAATCTCTGCTTGGAGGACAGGAGCCGTTAGACTTGTGGCAGCTGGATTTTGACTGTGGAGAGGATATGTACTCCATATGGACGGTGGAGCAGGGGGATGTCAGAAGCCTGTCCTTGAGGCCCAGGTTGAGCTGTGTCACCCACCTCCCAGGCTGCCCACGACGGATTGCTGTGACTTGGGAAAAAACACACTCCTTACTTTCTGCAGCTGCTGGTGGCTGGGATGCTGGGGTCCTGGTGTTGGCTGCAAGCAGTGTAACACCTGGACTGGGAGGGTTGGCATCTTCCCCTCTGACAGGTAAGAACTGCCATCCCAGGGGAGTCCTGGCTTTGCTTCACTCAGGAGTCAGAGGCCATGAGTATCCAGGTCTAACAAACACCTGTACTTGTTTTCTCTGAATGTCCTTTCATTTTTGACATCTGTTTTAGAAAATGAACTCTGGCCCATTTATTTTTGTAAATTTTTAGGATTCATTTTTCAATTCAGTAGGTTAGCTCTGTGTCCCAAGAACTGCAAATCTTTTCCAGATTTTTTCACTTCCCATTTGACTTTTTCTCTTGTCTACACAAATACTTTGCATTTTTATGTAGTTAAATTATTTTTTTTTGTAATTTCTGCATTTTGTGTCTTTTCTATTAAAGTTTGTAAAGTTCAGTTTTCCATGTGTTAGTGCTTAGGTGTCCTGGTGGTAGAAGTTCCAGGGGCCCATGTAGGTTGATAGTAAAGGTTTAAAATACAACCGTTTCTCTTTCGCAGTCTTTTTAGAAATTTTTTTTAATTTTTAATTTTTAAAAAATTTAGCTTTATTGTTGAAAGTATTATAGATGTCCCCTTTTCCCCCATTGACCCCCTTCACTTTCCTCCCATCCCTCCCCACTCCCCAGGTCTTCACCACACTATTGTCTGTGGTGCATAACCCATGGACACAGACAATAGTAAATTCTTTTTTTAATTCCTCCCCACCTACCCATCCTCCCCTGCCTTTCCTCTGAGATCCATCAAAAACATTTTTTAAATAGAAGAGACCACAGAGCAAAGAGAAAATTAAAGGTACTATAAGTACGGAGTATTTAAGGGGACAATACAAGGCTTGGCTGTAAGGATGTCTATGGTGTGGCAACTTGAAAAAGGGAAAGGGATGGTAGAGAAATCTGTTTTTCTTCTGGAATAAGGCTTCTGTGAATCTTAATGACTTGCCAGCAGCCTAACATTCAGCTCCTAAGTAAAGGGCCTGTCTTTGGCATTTTCAAAAACATATTTCTTGCTAGAATTCAATTAAAATTAGTATGGGTTTATTGTAATTGTTGGGAGAGAGAGAGAGAGAGAGAGAGAGAGAGAGAGAGAGAGAGAGAGGAGAGAGAGAGGAGACCAACTCTTTCATTGGACATTGGAGTAACCTACCTTTGGGGTCTAAAGGAGAGATTTATTTCACTGGTTATTGGACATAACCATATATACTGACTGGCTTCTGTACTCACCTTTCCTGATACTAGTCAGTATACTCTGTTTCTGGTGTAGTTCTTACTTTTTTCTTGTTGGTGGCGCAGGAAATCATTAGTTGACTCTAGTTGATACATCTAGGGAAAATATATGTGGAACTAAAACATCTGCTTGTCAGGAGAAAATATTGAGATATATAAATATCTCAATGCCCTCTCGCATCTTAACATCAAAGAACAAGTAACATAGTCTATTGAATCTGCCTGTCCTCAAATCAACACCTTCTAGACCAGGGGTGGGCAAACTTTTTGACTCGAGAGCCACAATGGGTTCTTAAACTGGACCGGAGGGGCTGGAACAAAAGCATGGATAGAGTGTTTGTGTGAACTAATATAAATTCAAAGTAAACATCATTATATAAAAGGGTACGGTCTTTTTTTCAATAGTTTTATTCATTTCAAATGGGCCGGATTTGGCACGCGGGCCGTAGTTTGCCCACGGCTGTTCTAGACACTCTGTAGAAACCTCCCTCTTTTGAGTTTCATTATGAACTGAGGACACGATGAAGGTTGTTGGTCAGAGTGAAGCTGAAGGACAGATTTACTTCAGGACATCAGTGTGATCTACACACATTGCACACACCACTCACCATGCACAGGTGAAGGGGTTTAGAACCCCTGTGGTTCCCCAATTTCGTCATCCTTTCTTCCTGCCTGGGACCAGGGCAGTGATGTGCTGCATTATGAAATAATTGATGTCTCAAACTCTCTCACAGCTCAAAGCAGCCAATACACAGAGTTCTGACCAATAAAATGTATCCCTTGGAAAGGGCCCACTTTTAAATAATAAAATTTTTAAATAATAAAATGAATTACTGCTCCACATTTGTGCTATGCTACTATTTTATATATTTCTCCCCATCTCTGCTTGGAGAACAGGAGCCGTTGGACTTGTGGCAGCTGGATTTTGACCGTGAAGAGGACATGTACTCCATGTGGACAGTGGAGCAGGAGGATGTGAGAAGCCTGTCCGTGAGGCCCAGGTTGAGCCATGTCACCCACCTCCCAGGCTGCCCAGGACAGATACTTGTGACTTGGGAAAAACATGCTCCTTACTTTCTGTAGCCACTGGTGGCTGGGATGCTGGGGTCCTGGTATTATCTGAAAGCAGTGTGACACCTGGACTGGGAGGGTTGGCATCTTCCCCTCTGACAGGTACAAACTGCAATCCCAGGGAAGTCCTGGTTTTGCTTCACTCAGGAGTCAGAAGCCACGTGTGTCCACGTCTAAAAAGTACCTGTACTTGTTTTTTGTGAATGTCCTTTTTTTGTCACCTGTTTTGGGAAATGCAATAGCTGGCCCATTTATTTCTGTAGAAATTTAGGGTTTATTTTTAAATTTGGGATATTAGCTCTTTGTCTGAAGCCCGGCAAATCATTTCCAGAGTTTGTAATTTCTCTTTTTGGCTTTTTCTCTTGTCTACAGAGATACTTTGGATTTTTATGTAGTTTTCTTTCTTTCTGTATTTTTTGTAATGTTTGTGTTTTGTTCCTCTGCCCTTCCCCACTAAAGTTTGTAAAAGTTAGTGCTTTTGTATCTTGTTGGTAGAAGTTGAGAGTCTCAGGGAGAATGATAGTAAAGGTTTGCATAACACTGTAGTCAATAATGCTTTCTGGACACTCCACAGAACGTTTATCTTGTGTTTCATTATGAATGGATTGATTTTGTAGGCTGAGATGGTCTTAATCAAGAATTATGTCCATTTTTGCTGGTTTGTTGTTGCCCTGCAGTGGTGTTCTAGTTGTGCATCACTGAGATGCAAAGGCAGGTTAACTTACTGTAGACCATTCAGGACAGAATTCTCAACACAAGGGAATCATACAAATGAGTCTTATGGAAAGAAAATAAAAAGCAGTGAGTTTAATGCTTGAGGTTTATTATAGAGAAAGAAAGAGAAAAAGGCACAGGTAAAATGACTAAATGCCTTTCTAAGTCTTCATGGAATCTCCCAGTGGTTTGGGACTTGCTCTACTCAGCTCAGCGACAGCAACGCTTATATCTTTGGCCATAGATGTAACAGGTCCCAGAAGGACTCTCAAAGGACTTGCAGAAGCGGCTGAGTCGGCACGTGCAACGTCTTAGTTTCCAAAGGCCTGTGGAGGGAGGAGGAGGGTCAGGCACAGTGTGGAATGGACAGGGAGGAAAGACATAGCCAGGCTCATGGAGATCTTCTGAGACACCAGGTGACTACTCACCATAGACAATACCGGACAGGTTAGAGTGAGCAGATTCATGTATTTGTCATAAATCACAAGGAATCTTACTGGCTCTGTGTTGGTCTGTTCCTAGTCTATGATGTAGATGCTTATGTCCTGCCCCTGCTCCCTAAACCTCCACTAAATTGGAATACCTACTCTTCACCCCACCTCATCCTCTCACCCAATTTTGAGCTCCAACTCTATTACCCACTCACAAGCCCCTCTAATGGGCCACAGATCCCAAAAGCACATTGGCTGGTGTCTCACCTGCAGCTCGAGTGAGGCGTTCCTCTCCTGTGAAGGAAATGGCCACGTCCTGGTCACTGTCCTCAGCCTGGTCCTGGTCCTCAGCCCAAACGTCTTTGGCCTTGGGCTGCTCCTGGGCAGGAACCTGGTCAGCTGTCTCTTGGAGGGACTGAGCCTGGGCCTGGAGGGCCAAGAGGAGAAGGGCAGCCAGGAGAGTGAGGGTCCTCATGGCTGAGGGTCAGCCAGAGCTCAGGGTCAAGAGAGAGGACAGCAGAGAGAGGTGTGCAGGGCACAGTCAGCCTGTACTTATAGGTCAGAGGGGAGGAGAATCAGAGACACACGGCGGAGAAGAGAAGCTGTCCCTATGGCTGGCCTGGGGCAAAGGCCACCGTCAACCACAAAGCCCCTTTCATGCTCCTGTTCCTGCCCATCCATCATAGCACGTGTCCGTGTGCTGTGTCCACACTTGTTTCAAGGTGATAACGATGATAAGGACCGGGCATGTTTTCTGTTTCCCATCTGCTTGTACACTTACCTTCTGATGTTCAAAAAACAAGGAACTGTGCTCTCATTGAGTAAGTCAGGGACCAGAGGCCTCTGCTTTCTGATGTGGGCCCTGCTCACCTCTGAGTCCCTGGCCCTGGAACCAGCCCTTCCCAGATGGAGTGGAGGGTCCATTCTGCAGGTTCAGGGCATCACTCCCTGTGGGGGAGCTTGTCAGGTTCTGGGGTGTAGACTCCTGTGCTGGAGGGGACAGTGACTCAGGCTCAGGTGGAATCAGCAATTGAGGACTCCAGGGAAGACTTGGTTAGAGCGAAGCTGAAGGAGAGATTTATTTCAGGACGTCAGTGTGATCTACACGTATGGCACATACGGCTAACCACTTACTTGTGCCTTTTTGGAGAAATAGCACACATAGCAGGTTCCCAAAGTTAACTTCTAAAATTTCTGATCTTTAAAAAGAAAAAATATATACATATATTTTTGCACAAAGAACAAAATTCATAAGGTAGAAGATAAATGAGTGAAAAGTAACTGTCTCCCCTCCCAGAGTCAGCCCTGTGTCCCTTCTGCAGGAACCCTAACTGAACAAAAATTCGAGGTTTGGCTGCCTGTGGCGATGAAAGCCAAACTCATGAGGCAGGTGCTGGTGGTAAAGGAAAGGGGTTTATTCATGTGCTGTGCAAAGTGGGAGGATGTTGAACTCTCATCTCAAAGACCGTCTCCCTTTCCTGCTCATGCCCAAGGTTCTCCTAGAGATAGGGATAACTGGATATAAATGCTACTTTCTTTCCAATTATCTTGCTAGCTTTTGGTGTGCTGGGGTCCTGTCCATTTATCTGTCCAGATTTCCATGCAATCATGTTCTGTCCATTCATACTTCTAGCTTTTGTTGTTCTAAATG